AGTGCCCCCCCAGCGCGATGGCTAGCGGCGGCTCGGGCAAGTCCAGCAGCGAGGTGTCCGGCGGCGGCATCCCCAGCAGCGGTTCCCTGCAGAGGAAGAAGCTCGTCTCCATCTGCGACCACTGCAAGATCAAGATGCAACTGGTGGCCGATCTGCTGCTGCTGTCGAGCGAGACCAGGCCGGTGAACACTGAGAGCCTGTCTGTCTTTGGTGAGTCCTTCGAGAAGTGCAGGGACACGATCATCGCCAGGACCAAAGGACTCTCCATCTTGACCCACGACGTCCAGAGCCAGCTCAATATGGGACGCTTTGGGGAGGTGGGGGAAAGCTTGATGGAGATGGGGGAGCTGGTGGTCTCCCTGACTGAGTGCTCTGCCCATGCTGCCTACCTGGCTGCAGTGGAGACTCCGGGGGCCCAGCCTGCCATGCCTGGCTTGGTGGATCGCTACAAGGTGACCCGATGTAGGCATGAGGTGGAGCACGGCTGTGGGGTCTTGAAGACCACCCCTTTGGCAGATATGAGCCCTCAGCTCCTGCTGGAGGTTTCTCAGAACATGTCCAAGAACTTGAAATTCCTGACAGACGCCTGCGTGCTGGCCAGTGAGAAATCCAAGGATAAATTTGCTAAGGAGCAGTTCAAACTCAGCGTCAAATGTATGAGCACCAGCGCCTCAGCTCTCTTGGCATGTGTCAAGGAGGTCAAGACTTCACCCAGCGAGCTGACCAGGAACCGGTGCGTCTTGTTCAGTGGACCTTTGGTGCAGTCTGTCTACGCTCTGGTGGGCTTTGCCACTGAGCCCCAGTTTTTGGGTAAAGCTGCCACCATTAATCCAGAGGGCAAAGCTGTGCAAACTGCCATCTTAGGAGGAGCCATGAGTGTGGTATCCGCTTGTGTGCTCCTGACCCAATGCCTCAGGGATATAGCCCAACACCCCGAAAGTAGCACCAAAATGAGCGATTACAGGGAAAGGTTGAGAAACTCCGCTTGCGCCGTCTCGGATGGTTGCAACCTGTTATCTCAGGCACTAAGAGAAAGATCTTCACCCAGGACTTTACCGCCAGTGAACTCCAATTCTGTGAATTAACCCCCACATCTTCTGTTTAGATCCCAGTCATTGCTAAAGGAAAATAATATCCCACCTCCTCGCCCCTTTTTTTGTATACCAAAGAATTTGCTTGGATGAGCCCAATCCTTTGATTTCATGTGGTGAAGAAGCAGAACATATTCAAACTATGCGTACTGGCAAAGGTAGTTGGTTTGGGCTTCTTATTTTACTTAAAAGTCCAGCAAGTATCTGCAGATAAAATTGTCCTTTAATCACCAAGACCTTCACACCAATAGTAATATCAGCTGTTTAAAAAGTATTTTCTATTTGGGGAGGTGGGGGCGTCTTAAAAACTAAAAAAAAAAAAAAAAAAAAAGCTTTAATCGCGCTGGGTGCGGTTTTTAAAGTTTGTCTTGTCTCGTCTTCCAAAATTTCCCCTCTAAATTTTACTGTTTGTGCAGGAAAAAGGTTACCTCAGCTCTCACTCATTTAAAAGAGAAATGATTAAAACCCCACCACCGCATAGAGGATGGATGTAGCTACTATTTTGTTTGTTTTCGTTTTGTATGACTTTTTTATTTTGCATCAAGTGTTAGGTTAGAAGTGCATTTGGTGTGTAGGAGTGGAAGGACTGGAGGTTGTGATTATGTTTTCCATGTGTTGATTTCCAAACTGGGGGAAAAGCTACTGTGAGTGTTTAAACAAACAAAAAAATTACACTATAACAAAAAGTGATTTTTAATTTTTTTTTTCCAATGTCAGTTTTTATCTTGCATGTACTGGAGTATTTATTTCATCTATTAAAATGTTATGTTTCTCAGATGTCTTCCCGTGAATCTCTTAATACTTGAATAATTGAACAACCAGGCCTGTTTGCATTGTATGTCATTTCCCCCAGGGAATGGGTGGTACAAATGTAACTGTAGTTGTAGACAGCAGCATAGAGGCTTCAATTCAGTTCTTTTATTTTCATAAATACTGTCCCTCCCTCAGTACCACCCTCCTCCTCCTCCTCTGGCCGCCTCTGACAGAGATACTGTAGTTGTATTTATGGGAACCTGGACAGTGCTGCAGGCGTTGGGATCGCCCTGTCTGCTTGCTGCAGCAGGGCACTGGCTGGTGTTGTCTCTATCAGCATTGTTATCTTGTGAGAAGGTTTTGTGTTTTAACTCTTGTAGATGTTGTGGGCCATCTGTGTTAAGCCTGTGAGTTTCCATGTTAACTTAGTTCTTGAAGAACTTGACCCTGCTGGGTAGCTCTGCTTGTTCCGCGTGTCTGCTTAGGATTGTGGAGGTTTGCCGAAGCGGGCCCTTTGGTTCCGCAGAGGTTTGTGATGGAGCTTTCTGTATGGATGTCTGTCAAAGTAGTTTGAGTTTGATGACGGAGATAGTGGGGAAAAGTTAGCTTTCCAGGCCACCTCCGTTTGAATTCTGTGGGAATGTGAGTGGACCTTGGAGTACATGGTTCCCATAACTGCAATGAGCTTTTTTCAGCCTAGTCTTTGTTGACCTGTGGGATCTGTTGCCTTCTATATGTTCCATGAAAAGTAAATAGAAGAGCAAGTCTTTTGGCAAGGAGGCTTTGTTTGTCTGCTCAGCTCCATTGCATAATTGGATTATTTTTTTATAAGTCTGCAGATTATTCAATGTTGAATGCTATTGGTGAACGTACCTTTAAAATGTTACCATGATTTAAACCTTCACTGTAGAAGCATTGTCCTGTTTAATCCTTTGAAGAAGCAAACCTTTTGGGTTTGGATATGGAACAGTCCTGGAGTAGCAAAAGGAGTTCCTTTTATAGCATTATTGTTTCTCTTGCACATGGTGCTTTTACTTAATTTCAAAGGGGAGTCAAACTGCAAGGACAAAGCTTACCTTATAGATCTTCAGGGTTAAAAGAAAATAATTCATTGATTTTAAGTGTAAAGGACCCCAATACTGGGTTTTGTTTATTTTTAAATGGGATTTTCCTGACTTTAGTAAATTGCATGATTAGGACTTTTTATGAAAAACTCAACCCAAGCTGCATTGCTCTGGGATACGACATTCTCATGATGTTGTCTCTGATGGAGCGTATGCCTGGCAGTACATGCTGCAAAGGCCTGGAGGTCCATGTCTGTGTCGTGTAGAACAACAGTTCTCTCCCCGTTTTTTCATACAGAAGTACATACACATGCTGTCCTACCTTGGACTTAGATGCCTCCACAGGTATTTCCTCAGAGGTGCTCCACATGTGCGTGTGGACACGTGTTTTTGCATCTGGATGGCAGAAACAGCCGTAGGACTCTGGAGGGATTTGTAGGAGGCCAGGGACGTCTACAGGGAGGTCCTGTGCCTCTGCAGAGTTTGTGGTTGTCCGCTCAACTACCCTTTGTATCTCCCTCCCTTGTCGCGTGTCCCTGTGGGAGCCGAGATACCGTCCCAATCTACCCGTCCTCCTTTTCCGCAGTTGCACTGAGGGGAAGGAGGAAAGGGGACTGCAGCAAATGTAATGCTTTCAGGATGTACTATCTTCTGTGGCTGCAGACAGGAGGTGCGGAACTGGCTCCACCCTTCCTTTGCATAGATCCTGGATGGTGCAGAACTTCGTGTGGGACGTGTGGAGATGGTGCCGAGGGCAGTGCTGTTTGGGGAGGGGACCGGTGCTAGGGCGGCATCCTTCAGCTCTAGGTCTTTTAAGTTGCCATGACCTACATTGGAGGCCTGCTTCCAGATATAAACCAGAGGATTCTGAAGGACAGCTCTGCAGCATGTCTGACAAAGAAAAAAAAGTAACGTCCCACTGCCTCTTTTGATGTTTCTACTTAATTTTTGGTGCTGCTGAACTAATTAGATTCCTTTTGATTCATTTATACATTATTGAGGTGGTATGAATCACAGTGCAGCCTCCTTATTACCTCTGCATGTGAAAGACAATATATTATTAATGGTGGTAGCGCCGATTTCTGTTGTAAAATTTTGGTTTAAGTGGTTTAGTGCAGTTTTTGTCTTAACAAGGATACTGCAGATTCTTCCCCCCTTTGTAATTATGCTTTAAAGTGAGCTACATGCATACATATTAAATAAGTATGTATCTTTTCCCTTTTTTTGACACTGAAGGAAAGCAAACTGTTTGGGATCTCCCTTTGCTTTTGAGGAGTGTGGGGTTTGGGGGCAGGGGGTGTTCAGTTTTATAAAATCAAACGTGAACTGTAGCTAGGCCGTGATTTTAGCTAGCAGGCTGATGGAAAAAAATATACACAAATGGTAAATTCACCCAAGGAACTTACTGTAGCATTTTAAAATAACAGTAATTTTAACGCTTCAGAACGTTCAATCATTCCTTTCCAGAATAGAACTCACACAAAGGGAGCCCGGCGTTCCCTGGCCTCAGCTCAAAAGAGTATCTGTCAAAATCCGTGCCTTTTGTATAATAAGCACAGCAAAGTTCAAGAAAAAAAAAGGCTTTTGATGCAAACAAATACAACTATTTTTATGGACCCTGAGTAAATAATTAACAGGAAAAAGCCTGTATATACATATGAACGCTGTGGGATTTTCTGAGTTGGGAGTGTGGTTCCACTGCTAAGCATGAACATCATAGATATATTGTAAATGCTCTAGTGTCACATTTGCAAAGACTTAATAAACATTGTGATAATTTATTTTGGAATGTATTCCTAGAGAGTATTAATTCCAATGTAAGACAGTATTTCAGTAGGTATATTCATGTTCATTCACTTTGTACTCTCTGGGACATAATGGATTAGTTTTCAGGGTGCAGTTGCTGGTCACATCGAGGTCACTGATGATCACTTAGTGTCATCCTTTAGGCTGTCATTGCCCAAATGCATATACCGTGTAGGTCAACAGGTAGTGTCACTATTTCAACATAGGCTCAGGCAAGCGTGAGACGTGTTTTCTAATCTGAAACTGTGGTGACTTTGAGAAAACTTAGTATTTTTAGGATGTTTATATCACATATGTCATAGATCTACTCTAACAGTGTGTTTAATAAAGGGGTTAACCTATTTCTAAACACATTATGCAATGCAGATTTGTAGCCAAAAATAACACAATCCCCACCAAAAGAGAATTAAGCTTATTTTTTTAAATGTAAGAATTATTTTAACAGGGAAGAAGTCACTTTTGTCTTGTCTGTGAATTTGGTATTACCCTTTGGTTGCGGCTTCATCGTAGTGAAGTTCATTGTTGATCTAATACAGCAGTTGAATCTCTTGAGTTTAGGATCAGAGCAATGTGTTTTCTGATTCTAAAAAAAAAAAAATAAGTTCTGTAAGACAACCAGTAAACTAGCAGCAAAATGCAATTGAAAAACAAGCACATTACTAAAGGGAACTTACAAATGTTATTTTCAAAGCTAAGAAAAAAAAAGACCATGGGTCAGATAATTCCCTTCACTTTTTACCACAGGAAATGATCAAAGTAGCAGAAAATCTGCTCTTTTTGGCCAAACTTCTGTCAGAGACAGAAGGGGTCTAGCCAACACATGGTGTATGCAGCCTTGCAGCAAGAGGGGATGTGGCTGATGGGAAAGGAGGTGGAACCAGAGGAAAATCTGTAGGGTAGTACCTCCTATTAAACCCACAGGAATTTTCCTATTCTAGATGAAACGGTCTGATCCAGTAAAGCAAATCCCAAACAATGAAACCTTTCTTTCTGGGCTGTTAAGATGCTTGCGAGAGAAGATGCTAGGAGGGGCATAGGAGCATTGGGGATGCTCGGCGTTGGAGGGGCACAGGAGCATTGGGGATGCTCGGCATTGGAGGGGCATAGGAGCGTTGGGGATGCTCAGCATTGAGCGGCTGTATTGCTGTAGAGAACAGAAAGCTTCAAGTTGCCCTGATACGTGTTAGAAGTACAGGCAGAACTGTGTACCTGCTGCGGTACAAACTGCCTCAACAGTTTGGTGGGAAATGAAGGGGTTGGCTTTTAATGTTTTTTATTCTTTTTCTTTCCCTATTAGGCTCTTTCTAGATTTTACAAGCAGAAGCAGATGGCAGGGACCAGTACATTTTACTTCTTTGTTCTTGCTGCGTGTGAAAGGTGCCAGATGGGCAATGATAAAGATAGAAATCCTCTTCCTGTAGCCCAGGGACAGCAAAAATGCAGAGCTTCAAGGCTGCCCTGTCCTCAGAGATTAGGTTAACATGACAATATTTGTGTTTTTTGGGGGCCCACTGGTTTCACTCTTTGACTTTTTCCCAGGAAACTGACAGTAAACCCCAGTGGCAGCTTGACAAGGGCATCAAGACCATTACAATATTTCACACAGGCCACCAAACCACCACCAGGTTTGGTTCATGCACAAACAAGCAAAAAAATATATAGGGTAGGTATGAAGTGCAGGGCCAAATCCTTCATGTGAATAACTTGGAAAATTAAATCCTGTGTCCTCTGAGAGGTGTTTATTTACTTGGGAATTATGAATTATCAAAATTTTTATATAGGAGTAGTTTGAAGGTATATTAACATAGTTAGCAGCACCATTCTGAACCATTTTCTTAATGAAGATGGACACCTGTGGACAGGCAGGGCCTCATTCATGACTCAATGAAGTCTGTGTAATTAAATATTAATGTTTTCCCCAAGTGGTATTAAAATGTTAGGGGATCATTTTGTGTTGCAAAGCAAGGAGTTATATATTGATTTTCATTAATCTGGATCTTTTCCTGGAACTGGTTTTATTGCACTAGAGTCCTTTGAACCTAAGTGTTTTGTTTTTTTAAAACCACACAGTGTATGATGCTATCTTCTGACCAAGTCAAAAGCAGCATTTCAAGATTAGTGCAGAGATTCCTAGGGTCTCTTGGCAGCTCACCAGGCTCTTGTTCCTGTTCTAACTTAATTTTTTATAATTTCCTTTTATGTTAATAAAGGCTTCTTGTGGCTGTAAAAGTTGAAGTTGTCTTACTCCATAGACAGCCTGGTTCTTATGTAGATACTATTTAGATTATTTAGAAGTCCTGCTGGTTGCCAGATGGAGCTCTTTTGGGTTCTGTGTTAAATACTTGGAAAGCTAAATAGCTTGACTTTTCCCTCCTTCCCTCCCTTCCTCCCCCAGCAAAATAAATAAATACTTACTAACAAGTTGCTCAACTTCAGTTTTAAAATCAATTAGTTTGAAGTGAAATGACTGCAAGTATGAGATGTATCAGGGTAGGAGAGGTTTGATGGGGTTTGATTTACCTACCATGATTTTAAACTCCAACGGTTTTGCTCCAGCTTCGTTTGGGCAGCAGGAACTTGAACTTCAGTTTGAGGACTGAATCCTGGAAAGCATAGAACCCAGCCTCGAATCTTGCAGTAGTGTTTCTTGCAGGGTCTGAACTTCAGATGGAAACCCCAAGACAGTCTTAGACTGCAGTGGCTGTTAGTATTGCTGGAAATAACTCACAGGGTGTGGTTCATTGGTATGCTGGGATGCTGCGAGCTGCTGTATCCCTGAATTAGTTTAACCAGCCTTTGGATGACTGGGAGTCTCTGCGGTAGCTTCTGTGTCTCCCACCTCCTTGGTCTGAACATTTAGGTGAAGCAGTGAGGAGGAGAGATTTGACATCAGCTTCTCCATCACCAGCATGCTGCTCTGTTTACAAATCATATGATTGGTACTGTGAGCCCATACAGATACCAGGGTGATCTCACCATGGGATGGTTTGAAACTGCTTTTATTCCCCTGATCTTTGGGGTGTGTCACTCTTCAGCCCATTCAGTCGGTTGAGTTCACAGGGTCTGCATTAGTGTGCGGAGCATCAGCAGCAGAGCTGGGCCAGGTCTGGTTGGCCTTTATCTGGATTTTAGCAATTGTGAGGCTTTGTTTGGTTGATACTTAGGTAAATTGCTGAGGTCTGGGAATGCTTCTTAAAAGAGCAGAGCCTGTTGGGCACTGTGGTGCTGATGAACTGAGGGACCTTCTGTGCCATATTCAGTGTATACAAAGTGTTCCTCCAGCTCACGCAAAATGTGCTTGGAAACACTGGGAGTCAGTGTCCCACTAATCATAATTATTTTGTCATCAATAGCCAATGGTCAAGACAGTAATTTTGGCCTCCAGGGTTATGGTTTTTAAGTACAGAGGAAAAAAAATTGTCAATTCCTTGTCATTTTTTTCACTATCTATTTATTCTGTGTGGTTTACATTAAATGTAGGAGGTGTGTTGAATTGGTAGGCATGCTGTTCAGGTGTACTTTGGCCCATTTGCTTTCTGAACATGCACACTATGGGGAAAAATATGGGAAGAGTCAGGTAGATCTGTATGTGCGGTGTGACAAATTACAGGCCCTGTAGCAGTTCTGAATTGGCATGCAGTTAAAACTCTGTTCATATTTAAATGCTTCAAATTTAGTCAATGTTTAAAAATTTACTTTCTATTAAAAAAATGGCTATGGAATCAATCTGTTCTGGCAATGTTAGATTCATAGTTCAAAAACTTTATCCCCATTTATCATCTTAAAGTAGCCATTAGCCTGAAATGTCTCAGTCTCTGGGTCTGTCTTAAAAAAAAAGAAAGGCCTGTATTTCAGTTTTAATATTTTTGAGAGCTTTAAAGCTAATGGGTCGGCCTATTTTTAAATTACAGAGCATGGAAAAATACTGGGTGTATTCTTTTTGATGCTGAAGTGAGCCATTGTTTCTCTGCTCATAATTAAAAACTTGCTTTTTAGAAACTGGGATTGGTTCTAGGCATTGCAAGGAAATCTGTAAGCAAAGCTATCTGCATGAAATTTCCTTAATACTGACTTTAGGCATGAACTCATTCAGAGTCTGTAATCTTGCCTACTCTTGTGACTGTCGTATTAGAGCAGTTTGTCCCAACAGCCTGTAAATGGAGCTGGTAGCATCGAAACAGGCTGAAGAGCAGTTGTTGAAGTGAGTGGTACAAGCTCCAGAGACATGAGTGCTGTCTTTGAAACTTCACAGCTATGCGCTGCTGGCTGGGGCACTGCAGGATGTAATAGTCCTGAGGAGTTACAGTGAAATACAGGGCTGAAAAAGCTATGAGCAGGGGAGGTTTGTTTCACAATGTGGGCACAATTTATGGTTTTCAAGGGGTGGGGGAATAATTATTTGGTCAGAACTGTAAGAGTATTTAGGGGCTTAACTCCCATTGATTTTCAGTGGGAGCTGTATGTCTAGATGTTTTGTGGACCTGGTCATTTGTGGTGAACTTTGAATGCCTGTGGGTTTAGGATTAATTACAGAGTGTTGTGGCAGAGTTTTACTGTAACTCTGTAGAGCTAGAAAATTCACAGCTGAATTATGAACATGAGCCATAATTCTGTTCTTGCCATCCTGACCTTTCCATATGAGTTAAAAGCTCTAGTTACCGTTGCCTGTGCCCTGGCTGACAAGCAGCCAGAAGCCCAGCTCTACCTCATTTGTCTCTTCTGGTTGCCAGATGCCAGCATCGTGCATCTTACCTTCATATCAGAATCACAGGTTTCACCTCCTTCCTTCCACTCTCTGCTCCTGGTGCAACACCCAGATGTGGCACAGAGCTCCCTTTGTACTGTGTTCATGTTATCCTCAACAGGCCATACAGATAAAGACAGTTCATGCTAATTGAGGTCCACATTGCATCAGGAACATACCTATTCTCTTTGTATGCAGGTACCAACTACCTCAATATCACATACATCCTTTCAAAACAGGTCTTGAAGAGTTGTCTGTAATCCATGTTCCTTGGAACTCTCACACGCTGTTCATCAGAGGGCTCTAATGAGATTCAGAAGAAAGGGTAATATGACTTCAGGTATTTATGAGATGGTTTTTAGTTAGGGAGGGTGGTGGGCGAGCTGGATACTATGAGACATAGGTTAGTGTTGAGCTTAAATTCATAGCAGCTCTAGGTGCCCATTTCCTAGTGGAGTAGCATTTGGGGTTTGTGTGGCATTTTCTGTCTCTTAACCATTTTGTTCTGCTAACATTATGTATTCAATTAATCTGCAGTTTTGAAGTTCAATAACAGGGAAGTAGCATCTGGATTTACACTGCTCTGTAAAATCTCTTTTGATGACTTTCCTATAACTTTTCTAAATTGGACCCTGAGGCTTCTTTTAAAATTTGTCTTGCCACAAGTTTTTTTCTTTATCAAAATTACCTTCATTTTCTCTTCAACTGGGGACAAACAAACAAAATCCTGGATAACCCTGGTGTATTTATCCAATTCCCTGCACATCTGCTTTTATGGACAGTTTCAGGATTATGAGAAATCACTTTCTTTGAAAAATACTTTTACTCCTAAATTTCAAAGTCATAGTCTGGAACTGGGGAGCATTTTGTTTTGTATGTGATTAAAACCACATCTGTTCATTGAGGTAGAAGAGTAGAAAAGGAATGCTTCTCTGTCTTGGTACATGAGATAACAAAAGGCCAAATGTTTGGTGCACTCTACATCATTGTACTGTAGTATACAGAAATGCCAGGCTGCATCAATATTGCTGTTCTAGGCACTGAGTATCCTTTTGATTACAGGCCCAGCACTTTGCAGTCGCTTGTATTGGGGGAAAAAAAAAAGTCTGTTGAAGGCCCTTGTTAGTACATTATAATGTTCTGTGTTACGTTTGGTTTTGTTTAAGACAAGAAAACTCAAATTGGAATTATGTGCCAATTCTTTATAAGTTCCCACATTTGGCAAAGGAATTGCATTAATTACATCTTGTTTTCTGTACTGTGTCATTACAGAAGAGAGAGCACATGCTGGGTTTGTAAAGGGATGAAATAATTCACATCTTTGAAGACTTTGCTGTATTATTCCTTTTCCTTTGGAAAAAACTTTCTCTGGATGATAAATACGCTTTGCAAATGTAGAGTGGTGCTCAGAAGCTTGAGTAAAACAGACTCTTAGTAAACCTATCAGATAGATGATTAAAAAAGTCAAAGTACTTTTTCAAATATTTTCCTCAGAGTATTCTTTAGGCATAGTTTTACCTGGTTTTGTTGTTGTATTCATTTCATATTATTGTTGGACATTTGCTCCTCTATGAAGTGATTTGATAAGTTTGACTGATTTCACTTACAGAAGATGCAGCTGCTGACTGCTCCTGGATCCTTAAGGCTGTGATCTGTGAGATATTGCGTGTCCTTCCTTGTAAGACTTCTTTTTACTGATGTGATCTGGAGTTCGCATGAATCACTAATGTCCAGGGAAAATCATTCCTGTTGAGAGAATAAAGCATAAAGAATGTTCAGACCCTGTCTACAGGAAAAGTCTGTAAGATGGACATCTCGTTTTCAGTCACTCTGTCGAGCCAGCCCCTCTTCCTCAAGATTATGAATTGGAAATTAATGAGAGTATTTAACTGTTCATGTCTATCTGGTCTGTCTAAAAATAACAGTTTAAATGTATTTTTATACCAAAAAATAGCAGATTTTTTTTTCAGCAGGGAAAAAGGAAAGCCTCTGTTTTGGTTTTCAGAAGTGGACTGCAAACCGATCAATATCCCTTTTGCTCATTAGATGCTGTGTAACTAAGTTATCCCACTGCTTATTGCACTCTAAAATACCTTTTACTGTTGATGTGCATTGACATCCTACAGTTTCATTTTAGAAAAGTGCTCAGCTTGTTTATGTGCTTCAGTCATATTGACAGTATATAAATTCTTCCTCAGAACCAAATAATCCTTGTTAATGACAGAGTGAAATGATACTATGTTTATCTCTAAGGGGAAAAACTAGTGCTTTGCTTAAGTCAGATTGATGAGAGTTCAACCTAGTAATTCTAAAGGCTGTTGCATTTGTAGTAGTGTGTTTGAGGACTCTTACAAGCCTGAAGCATACTGTTTTCAAACTGTTTAATTTTATCACTATTCCAGAGAGTACAGAATTACCTCTCCCAGACCAGGTTATTTGGGAATTAAAGCCTTTTAGACCATACTTAGCAAAAATGATCCTAGTTAGATCTAGTTTGCAGGGTGGGTTCTACCTGCAGATACAAAACTGGGATGTACAGGTTGATCATGTTGTAAGGGGGTTGTTTTAATGCTAATTAAGAGCTACATTGCCTGAGATCGGGTATCTGTGACTTTTCAAGGAAACATGGATTTTCATTTTTTTAGAAGCAGCCTTTTAAATTTGTTTTTATGGGTGAAAGCCCCAGAAACAATGAACTTTGCCTTGATCTCAGTAAATGATGCAGCCATAGGGATTCTTTTAGACAGATAGGGATCAGGTATGGTAGGTGCAGGTATGAGGTATACAGCTATAAACATACATACAAAGGGGACTCAGGACCTAAGACTTGACCTTTCTTCCCCACACGCTTCTCTACAAAACAGTATGATTCTTGCCTTCAAAGAACAGTAAGTACTGTTGGGAATACAGCTTGCTTGAAAGACAGTTAATCATTAAACAGGGGCTCTGGATAGACAGCAGATCTACTAAATACTACTTAAATAAATTGCTAAAAAACTACATCAGAATTAGCATCTAGCTGAGAACTTCTGCTTATAAGCAGGGGCCTACATGGAAATATATTTAGTAATAAGGTAAATGTTTGTCATCCTCATGCTTTGCCAATGATTTTGGGTCTCTGCATGTTAAGACTAGGGAAGAAGGTGGAAACTTGTTTGGTTAAAAAGTACATATCAGTTGTTAGGAAAGAAAAATGTCCTTCTAGAATTAGCTTGGATTAAGCTAGTGGATAGATGCAGCTCTGATAATTAAGGGATTTGTGGAGCACTGTGAGTCACAGTACCTGTTAAGGGCATTTGGGCCAACTCTACTTACGGTGATCCTTTCTTCTTCATCAGAATGAAAGCTTTATTGTCTACCCATAGGCTGTTACATATCTTCACCTCTCCGTATGCAGAGGGCTCTGCCTTTTCTGAAAACAGAGATAAAAAATAATGCACCTCTTTCCCGTGAACTGTGTCCCACCAGTCATTGCTGTCCTGGTCCTGAGCATTTCACAATGTAATACTGTCTGGCGATGCTTTACTTTTGTCTTGCTTTTTTGCATTGTCACTCACATGCTCCTTAGTGCACATCATCAGGCTAGGAGCCATTCCTCACCTCTGATTCTCCTCTAATGCTTCCAAAAATCTCTTGTACTCACTTACAAAACCAGCTGGAACTGCAACATCACTCCATTTTAAGCTCTGAATTGTGTTAGCCATTACATTGGTTCCACATGCTGCTTGGGTGGAGACATCAGTTAGAATTCCCAACACGGCCAGTCAGGCCAGGAATTGCAGCTCTGCATAAGTGGTGGTGACTTTCTAGTTCTTGATTACACTATGCTGGAAAAGAGGATTGTTCCCAGAGCAATTTACCAAGAGGGGAAAAATGGAAATACTGTTGAGGATGACCTTCCACCCCAGTGATCTATTTGGCTGGCGTCTGTTACTGCTCAGCTTCTCCGTCATGGGTTTCGCAGTAGTCCGGTGCTTTGTCATCGCTACTAAGTGGAGAACTCCTGAGCTCACTAAACAGTTTGTGGGAGGTTTGTGTAATGGCAGAAGGGTTTATGAATGCAATTGCAGAGCAAAGTATTCATCAGGGTTACCTGAAGTAGATATGGGTCCTATCTGAGCAGACTTTAAATGCATCAATTCTAAAAAATTCTGCAATCTGAAGTGCTATTCCTTTGTCTAAGATCTTGAGGTAGAGAGAAGGAGAGAGGAAAAAGAAGGGAATTACTTTGCATGGCTCCAGCATGGGAGCAAGAAAAGTGTTGTTGCGATTGTCTCCAGGAGAGAGGCAGTGCTGTAATCCTGTTTCATTTTCGTACGCAGAACTTGAAAAGATTTTTCCTAGAAATGTGTAATGGGACTGTCAGAAAACAGACCACTCCCCTTCCCAGTAGTTTCCTGCTGAAGTCATTTAAGGCCTCTCACAGCTTTCATCTGTGTAGGCACTGAGAACTCGTGAGCCAAGATTCTTTTTTTCAAGTGAAGTGCAGGCAAAAATGAAGCGCTTTAAAAAAAGTCATTAGGAAAGAAAGTTGGAAGTTTCTCTGCATGTGAAGCTGGCTCGCCACTTAATCAGCTTCTCATTTCCTTTCTGTTTCTGTCAATCCCATCGTAGTGGAGCTAGGTGTTTTTCTTGTTTTGGGTACTGCTAAAAGCATGTATGTGAGCTGCCCAAAGGGGCGGAGAGAGAAGTTGTTCTTACTTCACTTCTGGGACTGTCTGTTCAGGGCTTTACACAGGAGGTGACTTGGAAAGGCTTGTGGATTCCATTTACTGTGCACTCAGACCTGATGATTGCAGTAGGCTGAACATACAAAACCTGCTCTGCAGGCAACAGCCCCACTGCAGTAGCTATTTAAAAAGAAAAAATCCCTTTGTGGAGCTGGCAGATAGCCTGCATTCACAAAGATGGGGATTTCTGTTGGTACATATGCCATGTTTAACACAAGGCAGCGTGCTTTTAGAAAGAAACCATTACTACCCTGAATAAATGGATGCTGCTCAACATGCATTTTCTGGTTGGACTGAATTCAAGCTTCCCATTCTGAAATGGATAGCTTTTTTATGTTGCATTCACATGTCTCTCAGACAAATCTGTAATGTGGGTTTGTTCCTTAGATGAATGATACACATTTCATCTGATTTCTTTCAAGTTGAGCTCTGCCTGGCATAGGAATGATGTTTTTTGCTTTCTTCTTTTGTCTAGGAGACCATGTTGTACTGTGAAAGATGAACGTCATTCCCAAGACAGGTGAATTGCGTTCAGAGGTAGATTTACTGGTACCTCTTTGTAATGCTACAGCAGTGCCATAGGCAACTTATCAGACAGACATATATTGTGGTAGTATTGAGCTGTTTCATGCATCAGCCCTTTTGTAAAGCTTTAATTGGAAGTTATATGTCCTTAAAGCCTAGAGGAGTCTAGGAGTCTTCTCTGCAGGGAATGAATTTTCCTATTTTACTATTAGTCTTTGGGGTAGTGATGTATATACAAGTATTTCAGCCTTAGAGCATAAGGAACTTCCTGAAGTTAGCTGGCCATTATAAACTACATATGCACTTAGGAAAAGAAAATGCTGGTATTTAAGTAGGCTGCCAGCATGCTGTGAATGCAATCCACTATATTAAAATGACACTTCAAGTTTGTATTTGCATTTGCTATGAAACTGTGCATACCTGATGTGCAGTTTTTTGGAGTTGCCTCGATCCAGTGTGTAGGGAAGCTCAATGAGATGCATACAGCCTGAAGAACAACTTCACGCTGCTTTGAATTAAACTCCCGATCAGGTCCCAGGGTCAGATTTGGGACTGATGAGCTAAATGGCATACTCAGATAAAACCTGAGCTTGCCCCAAGCACCTGACCCTTACCCTGCAGTGATAGCAGGCTCTAAGCATTACCTGTCCCCATCACCTCCCTGCGTCCCATCTGCCTTTGTTATGAGACCATATGTTTGAGGCTAGGTAGACAAGATGTCCTGTGGCCTTTCTGATAAGGGCCAACATAGTGTCATGTGAAGACACATGGCACTTTAAACAGTCTGGATTCAGGCTGCCTGCAGGGGCCACCTGGAAAGAGAAGTTGTGTCTCAGAACCTCTTTCTAGAATTGGCTGTCTCAGGTACAGTTTAAGCAAACCAGGGCTATAGCTACGGTCCTGTTTGTGCTGAAAACTTAGCAAACCCAGCCTTTCTAAGGCTTTAGATCTTCACCTACTTACTAAGGTATTTCTGTTTGTCTTGTTACTGGCATTCTTGCTGCTTAACTACAGTGGTGACAAAAGTTTGTGTCATACTGAAAACAAGATTTGAACTGAATCCAAAGGCTGTGGAGTCAGTGCAGCTGTGTAATGGGGAGGAGCTGATACATGCTGTCAATGATTTGAAACTATTAAGCATATATGCAAGGAAATGACATCTGAAATGCTTTTATTTCTAGTGATAACTGATGATTTTCACCATGTACAACTTTGATTCTTATAAATTCTTGTATCAAGAGTCTAATCTAGCCAACCCTACTTTTGTGAATTAGCAGTGGTAATTAGAGATTCCTGGTCTATACTGTTGCAATATGTACTCACACTAGTATACGTTGATAGCAGGAAGTGTGTAATTCAGAAGCCATTCTGCCAGAATCTCTGCTCTTTGTTCCCTTGTGTAATGGATGGCACCAGTCACCACAAGTCACCGGTGGTGACCTAATGGCCAGTCCCCACTAGTCACCACCTAGTCCTAGTGCAGCAGAGTTTTTATACAGAATCCCTTTCTGTGTGTAAGCGCCCTTGTAAGAATCAGCAGCACACAGCTGGCAGTGTACAAAGGTGGTAAAAGCCTGTACAAGCAGTATAAGCCTTACTCCTAACAATAAAACAGAGTGACTGGCAGAAAGTGGTGTCAGTGGCTATGTAGATTAGGGAAGGATCGGGTGTGTTCAACAGGGGAATAGTGTTTGTTTAGGTTTTCCCTCCTGGGACTAGTTTAGTATTTCAAGCACGTTTGGGAACTTTTTCCCCCCAGAGAGCTAAGATGCAAGACAGTGTGTATGGATCTGAGACAATAAGACTTAACAATGCTTCATAAAAAGTGATTGCATATCCTATAATGCTAGCTTTGTCTCTGGGTGTCTGTATAGACTCTCTCAGTATTTGTTTGCTGACTTTTCTTTCAGTTTAAAATATGCAAGATGATGCCTCTTTCAGCCTGTTGGGGCTGACAAAATACTAAAGATCAACAAAACCATAGAGTAAAATGCAGCTGAACCCAGTCCTGTACAGAGAGTCCCTATGTGTGCTGTATCAGAGGGAACAGCTGGGATCTACTACTGACAACACTCCTAAATCCACATTTTTTCCCATCTGACTGTATGCTTATTTTGCATGCCCTGTCCAGCAAAATGGAGAGCTGATACTTGTCTCCTTTTCACTCACTGTCTGATGGAAGGTTATTTAGAGCAGCAATGTCTGAGTCATTTTGTCGCAAGCTAGTTCAAAAGGCATATGCTGTATGTAAAACTGCTCCAAGAAGATGAAGAACAACCACAAAGGGACACACTTGTGCAAATCACTATTCAGAGATTTGAAACATAAAAACACATGGCTCTCAAAGAGGCCAGGACCCCAAAAATAATTGGCCAGGGTAATGGAAATTGTTAAAAGAATGAATGGTAGCAGCCACAACCATTGCCAAAATCACTATGGTCATCAGGCTGAGAAATGAGCCTGGCGGCAGTATCCATTTGCCTGATTGGAATCTCATCCGTGCACCAGCTCAGAGGCAGATTCCAGAGTAGTCCCAAAGGGGCTCCCAAAATCACAGGCACTGAGCTCCTCTAAGCCTCTTGAGGGAGACTCAGCCTCCTCAGCAGTTAGACAGCCACCGATGAAGCCACAGGTTCAGTGGAGCCCTATGTACAAACATTGCCATCATGATGTTAACAGACATTATTTTTGAACACTGCACATCCTGTATTCCATGTGGCTGGGCTTAAATGCTGTGTATGCTGCCAGTATGGCTAAATGTGTGTCAGCAATTAAGGACCCCAGGAGGTCTCTGAAAACTGATGTACAAGCTTGTTTAGCTCGCCTTGCAACATAACTTTTCCCTAGCAGAATATGATCACTGTAATATGGAAGGGAGCTTTGCTCTACTCATGCTAAGTACCCTTATCTGTCAAGTGGCCTAACTAACATAATTAGATTAAACTAAGAGGAATTGAGCCAACCTTGGATTCTGACCCTCCTGTTCAGGCCCAGAGAAAGGTCTTCGAACGCAAAAGCCTGTATGTTCATTCCAATGATATTAATTGATCTAATAACAATTTTAGATGTACGTTCTCTTCCTACAGAAAGATTACTAGTTCCATCCTGGAATGATCGGTATGTATATAAATCAGAACAAAGGAATCTGACTTGAACTGTTAGCTAAGTTTAAAAAAAGCCAAAGCTGCTGTGTATTAATGTGAGAGCCCTTGGCCAGCTAACTGAGGAAGAAACCCCCTCCCCGGTAACTGACCATTAGGGTTGTGGGCCTGAAGTCACTGTCACATAGAGGATATGGGAGCACATGGAGCACGTCCTTTCCCGTAAGTCAGTCCATGGCTACAAATGGAATGAAATTTGCAGGGTTTTGTGACCATTTCTGCTCCTCAGACCAGCATTAAGAACAGTACCTGTCTCCTGTGGTGTGGAAGCAAACCTGGTTCTACTTTAGAGGCAAAACTCAAGGAGATGGAGAGGGGTCCTAGAGTCATAATACGAAAATCACTAGTTCACACCGACATAAGCCAACCTGATGGAGGATAGTCAGATTAAGCAGCAGGTGAAGGAAATGCAATAAACATAGAAAAATGAAGCTTCTGCTCATCATGTCTCTATGAGATTAACAGGCAGAGTTTAAGCTTAAAAAGTCAGAGACGGAAATGAATAGTGAAAATGTTACTTTTTCTTTTTTACTTTTGTAACAGCTATGGTTCTTGAGTTCTTCTTTTGAAAGTTGTCATTAATATGGCACTATTTTTTAATACAGTTCAAAGTCAGATCCAGCTGGTTACCATAAAAATAAGTTATCCTCTCCACAATTCACCAGTTCTCTTAGAGACAACTTTCTCCATAAGGCATTTGCCTTATTTTTAGACAGAACTGTGGCTATTAAATGTCTAGTTCATTTTAAAAACTACTACCAAGGTAAAACCAATAGGCACTGACATTGCAGTAAAACCTTTTCTACAATACTCATATTGCAATATTATTTCTTGTTTACACTGACCAGCATCCTGATAACCAACTGCAAAGACTTGATGTGGTAACAATAAACACTAGAATATTCAAAAGTACCTTAGTGTCCATCTGCAATACATCAGCACTATAAAGCGAGGCACGTGTCAGCTGCATTGACAAAGTAAAGGTGCCAGGGACTACTTCTCTCTTCCTCTCCTCTTTAAGTAAACCTTTAAAAGACAGAGAAATCTCTGTACTACAGAATGATTCACACCAGGTAAATAAATGCATTTCGGCTGCAATCATTCCTTATTGAGTTGAAGTGGTATTAAGCTTCTTTAATCTCATCAATTTGAGAAAGCATGCACAAATGAAAAGGAGTGACTTTAACACTTTAGGAGGGCGAACTGCAGCTTGCAGAGAGCATCCAGCAAAGGAACAGGAATAATTTTATGATGACTGGGCTAAAATCTATGCCAGTTCACAACTTCTGCTGCAATTAATTTGATTTCTTTGCTTCATTCCTGAAAAATTAACCTCATGTGATAACCCTTATGCATTTCATCTATCTGCAGTTTTCACAGTATTTGCCACTGAAGAACTCAAAATACTTGTAATGCTTTTCTAGTTCAATCTGATTGCCACTAGAGCTTCTACCCACTTTCATGTGGAAATTTAGCTTTTACTCCCATCTGCAACACCAATCCACCTTAAAGAGTATCAATGAACATATGCAACAAATCTTCTGAAATGGTCATGCCCAGATGCATGCATAGGAATACTCTCCACCTAATGCTGAAACACAACCACCTCTTCTGTGAGCAGTGTAATACAACAGCTTGTAGCAACACTATATAATCATATACTTGGCCTAGAGCAAAAATTGGAGCAGTGGGAATGTACAACATTTGAATCAGCATTTGTTGGGAAAACATTTCTCTTATGAGATAGAAACCTTATTGACTGCAAATATCCAGAACTTTGATGGTACTGTAGTTAAAGCTGGTATATTCAGCAAAAAGAACTTCAGCAGTAGGATTAGGACAGAGATTTTGTTAACAGCTGGAGAGAGCTGGCCACATGAGAATGACCACTGTTCCTGCTGACAGTACCTGTGCACTTCGGGGAAGATTTCTTCTCATAAACACCAGCCTACTTCTCTGTGAAAATTCTTCATGTGTACAGCAGGAAGCTCCAGTCCTGCAAAATATGTATTTTCTGATGAGACTGTAGTCTGAGATGGTACAACAGTCATGACACTGATTTGTCACATACAGTTTCTACATTCTGCCTGAATTAATTTCTCTTTAGACTCGGCTCCATAGTGAAAACACTTTGAGGTCTGAATTTGTTCTTTCCTTTTGTTCTTTAATACTCCTGGAGAGGTGAGATCTGATACTCCTGTTCATGTGAAACAGCATCTATTTTCCCAAACTCCCCTATTAATTTGAACAGGATAATTTGGCATTAGAAATACTATGCAAATGTTTCAATGAGCATTTCTGAGGTCTGTCTGTGCTGACAAACAATTCTGCCAAGGAGTTTGCTCATTAAACAGCAGTGAAAAGCAAATATGGGTGAGACCTGAATACATTTAAATTAAGTTGTTTTTCAGTTGCTTAAATAACAACAACAAAAAAGTAGGTAATTTTCCTGCATTATAGTTAATAACACAAAGGTGTATTTCTAACATTATTTAAAATTCAGTTTTTCATTAGGTTTGAGATCTCTGGAAAGTCCTTCCCTAGTAAAAAGAGAGAAACAGAAAATCTCTGTTTTCCCAGTGGTGCTCATTACTGATCCAGACTTGCTGTCAAATTGTGACTACACTGCAGAAAGATACACAAATCAAAAGCCTTCATATACTAGAAGTTTAACAATTTAGCAAGCAGAATATACAATTCATATAGCTAAGAACAGAGAGTAAGCACCAAAAGAAAATATCTTGTCAGTTTGAAGGGTTTTAATATAATTTAAGAAATGTAAGAACATTATACATATGAAATATTATTCATATAAACGGCCAGATTAGCTGAATTCAGTTCTACCACCAAAGCTGCCTTCTGCTTGGAAAAAAAAATACATGTTGAAACATTGTAATTATCTAAATTATTAATTTTGTAATTGGAAAACCTCACAGAATGAGTTGCAATTGCAAAATTTCAGCTCAAACTACTTAAAAATTCTGTAACTAAAAAGTATACATGTACAAAATTTGCAATGCTGAAAAGCTGAAGCAGATCAGTTTGCATAGTAGCCAATTGTTCACTGGTAAATATGCTCCACCTTTCTGCTAGGAAGCAGCAGATGAATTCTTGCAATTCCCTTTGTAATTCTGATCCAAGTCCTCCTGAAGCCAGTGGAAAGATTTATATTAAGACAGCTTATTAGGGCTTTGTTTTACATGTGTTTGTCTCACCGAGATGAGTGTTTATTTCATCTTGTTTTTTTTCAGGGTTTCCAATCTCAACTGTACAGTCTGTGAACAGTTGTGTTTTTTTTTTTCTTGAAACTGAGATAATATTGAAGAGAAGGCTGTTGGGTACCAACATTCATTTGTTACTGGTCCATGAAAAGATTCCCAATTGTATCAATTCAGAATATACTTTGAAACAAATTCTGAGATAACAAATCATACTGACCACAAAAATGTCCTTAGGTGACACCGGTGAAGAGGGAGAGTCACTTTTGACAGGCAATTCTTGCTCTTGCAGGTGTGTTCTCACAAGGCTGGCAAAGTCTTTATTTTGGGGAGTTTCCATGGAAATGTTGGCAGGCCTGAATGGAAACAAAAATATTTGAAAGAAGATGTTAAAAAAAAAGCGTGATTTGAATGTGACTGAAGTTTGTATTTTTCTAAGAGTAGAAAGTAGAATATTTTTGTCTATGGTTTTAAAAATTTGATCTAAATGAAATCCACGGACAAATTCAGGCACAGTTTTACAAACTGTTGTGGGTTTGGCATCATACGGAACACTTTAAGGAAGGGCTTTTAAGAATCTGCAAACATGAAGTGTCTCCTTTCATGTTTTGTTTTCTGAAATAGGCAGATGTTTTCTACAACTTGAATTTCCATACAATCAAAATAATCTTTGCAAGGGTGAAAGTGGTCACTTCCAAAAGTATGTACTACAAAAATCCAAGAAGGTTTTATCACTTTAGAAATAGCCTTTAAATGTTTTGAATGCCTAAAACGAAATTTTCATTGCCATTTTAAAGAGGAGTCTGCAACACTGATGGGAGCTTGTTAAATTTACTTTTTTCCTGAAAATGAAGTTCTCTAGGAAATCTGCAACTGCCTTGCAGCAGAACAGATTGCTTTAGGGAGCGTTCCCTGTCACAGCAAAAGAGGGCACAGGCTGCAATGCAGTCATCATTCATTACATGTTGCAGAATGACAGTACAGTCCCATCAAGAGCAAGAGCCAAAATGACCAAGACAACGATGCAAATGTGAGTGCAGTCCTGGTGCTGCATTAGCAAGCCATGAAGGTAGCACAGATCCCCAGGGACTTCAGGAAAAGATGAGGCAAGCCACCTCCTTGCTGCTCTCACAATAGGTTGGGAAGAAGGCCTGAGGAAGGAAAATGTCATTGTGCCTTTCCCTTTGCTTGCTTTAACTTGCAGTGGAAGACGAGCAGTCAGATGGCCCAATGCTACAGCAATTCCAGGGACCTGCTGGCAGTACTATTTATACACTGTGGTTGAAAAATAGCACTTGAGAGTGCCTCTGTTAAAAGGTCTTCGTTGAAAAAAACCAATTCCGCATCTGTGAAAACTTCCAAAAATTGCTTTCCTTAGTGCAGAAACCGGATATATATTTGTTGAATCAGGCTCTTAATTAGGTAGGATACAAAGGCCTTTCTCCCCCCGTGATACTTCCTGCTTGACAACAGCATTCCCCCTGCCTTCTGTGAATCCTGCTATAATTTAATATGGGATTTTTTGTGGTGTTACTTATTTCCACAAAGATGCCATAGCAATGATCTCCTTTCTCTTCCCCTCCCCTTTTAAATTCAAATTTTTCCAGGCCAAATTTCTTCCCGCTTACTTGGGCTGGTCTTCTCATTAAAACACATTCTTCAAATGACCCCCAATCATTTGCCCTTCCTGTCCATTCTTGGTTATGCCAAAAGTGTTAGTTCACAACAGGAAACCAATAGCTTGTGCTATCAGGAGACATTTCCTTCACAGCACAAAACGTCTGAATAATAATTTCAGGCAAGGCTTCACCCATTTCCTGTGAAAGGAGGGAAGTTTGCCTATCCCAGTCCCTCAGAGCTCTTTGTTTCCATCCCTTCGTGACGTAATGCTTTCTGCACAGGGAAGATGGATCATTTTCCCTTAACAGCACTAAATTCAATATCCTGTGTAAAGTTTGATACTGCTCCTCAGCCATGAAACACGTAACATTTACAAACAGTAAAAATTACGCTGGAGTTTATACTTGTGGTGTCTCTTTCAAAAAATAAACTGAACTTTTGGTATCTGGAAAATTGCTGCAATGAAAACATGAAGGCTAAAGACAGTTTGCTTTATTAAAGGTACTTGCAGGTTGTTTAGCGCTACAGCTCTGACTACTGCGTATCGTCCCAGCACATAGGAGAGCCCATCTGTTGTAAACTCTTGCTGAGCACCAGGAAAGCCCCAGACTAAAGTGTCCATGTAGTGTGTCCATTTGGCACTGTGTCCAGTACAGGAGTACTGCAGATTGCTACAGGAACAAAATACATCAATTAAGCACATGCTTAACTTCACCCCTATATAGCAAAACATTCATTTAAGCAAATACTGAAGCGTGACTTTAAGTGACATGCTACATCAAAGCCTTAATATAATAGCAATGCTAAATTGTTAAAATTGGAATTATCAAGCAATACACATTAGTTTTTCAGTGCTGGAATAGTCAGGGATATTTAGGATGTGTAATTTTAGGCAAAAAATGTGTTAAACTATTCTTTATCCAAACAAAGTAGGCATAGAAATCACTACTTTTTTCCATTAAACCCTACATTTAACCTGGTTTTGTTAAATGATGAAACCTAGAATCAAGATATTTAGTTTTCTACTTTGTTTTTTTTTTAAAAAGCTTTATAAGGGCTTATATGTTTTTTTTTTTATCACCTGTTGCATAAAGCAAGAAAGCTTAAAAGGAGAATTTGTCAGAGTTTGAGGACCTTTAAATTAGCTCTTGTCACAGTTACTATGATAGTGCAGTCTTAATTACATCATTTGCTGTCATACAAAAGCCGTAATAAATCTCTCTATTATTCTGAAGACAATAAAATTTATTATATGTGTCCTCTGTGTATTTGTCATTTGAAATGTTTGACCCAACATGAAATACTGCATCTCTAATTCACCTGTTCCAATCAAGAGGCCAAGCAGAGTCAATGTACCATTTTCTTCCCTCCTTTAACAGACACTACACGCATTTCCTACTGTTGGGAATGCCCCCTCAGCTGGGATGCCACAGGTAGTAAGCACCTTCCTCACAGAGATTCTAGTCATGCTTGTGTTTGCTAAATAAACCATTTCAACACTTCTCCACTAGAAGTTGTGTTCACAGCAGCTTTGTGTTTCAATGTCTCTTGCTTAAAAGGCAGGCATGTGATTTCCTTGCTGAAGATTGGTGGGACCTTTTCATATCGTGTTTTCCAGTCCATTTCCAGAAGTACTATGGTCAGTTATGGACCCAAGCAACAGAGAGTCTCTGCACTCAGCAGGTCTCATACACCCTTACCACCTTCCAGTTCTCACTTTCCCCATCAGTGACTAAGATGTGAGATGTCAGTCTCTTTATATTTGTTCCAGAGGAACTGTGAAGATGAATTTTGTTTCACTTCAGTTGGGGCTGAGGAGGGTGTTTTGCCCTCAGTGTCTCTCTCAGATAAGAAACTGTTTCTGAAGAAAAAAAGAAAAACCAACCTGTAAAATATCATTCATTCTTTTTTAATTGTTCAACCTTAAACTGGGTCATCTTGCTGAAAACATTCTTTGAAGGTGATATCCCAAGGCTTTTGCTGCATCTTGCTTTTCTTTTTTCCCTTCCCATTTTTGAATCCCTTTTCATCTGGGCATTTGAGTATGGCTCAGCTACATTAAACTGTGTAACAAAATCCCAGCTGGTTGTTCATTGGGGGTTTCCAGATTTGTAGGGCCAAATCTGGAAACCCTTTGTTCTGGCCATGTGTCTCCACAGCACAATAACAGGTGAGCTGGAGGATCTTCTGAGAAAGCAGTGCAAACAACTGACACCTAAAGAAATCAGCTACTGTAAGACTGGGCATGCTGAACATGTCTAGTTGTGCCTAATGGCAAGAAAACCTAATGACTGTTATTCTATTGGCTATTAGAGAAATACAAATACCAAGGTATAGACATGCATACTTAAGAAAAAAAAAGTCAGGACAATCATCAGAGAAAGCTTCCTTTTAATCCCATGTTTTAATATCACAGAAGCATCTCTTATAGCAACTGTGGGAACACAATGTCCTTTTGAGCTTGTAAAACTGCATTTGCAAAATGCTCTGAGAAGGTCTGCGGGTAATACCACAAACTGGCAAGAAGTGTCATCTAAATCCCCTTCTTCCTATTATTAACTTGTATAATACTGTATGTACTTCAGTAAACTTCACTACAAATCCCACAAGAATGGGAGTATTTATATTTTGCTATGGAATAGATCACAGAACACTGTCCATCTGTCAAAACACAAGAGTAAATCACGCTTAAACATAATACTCTAGCTGGTGAGCTGAGACCCAGGAAAATCAGGAAACTTGATGAAGACCACACAGGAATGAATGAGAAAGAAGAGGCAACGTAGCATAGTCTGTTAGTCATTACAGACTGCAACTGCACGTACCAGCTTCTGTGACCCATCACACAGTGCTGGTGTGCAGATCGTTCTAGACTGCTCTATACTACACATATAAAAACTGGCAGAGAACCGTAGTGCCCTCACTGCAGCAGCAATAGTGCTCTCTGATATGGCTGGAGGGAAGGGAGGAGAAGTGGTGCAGAACAACCCTCATAGAACAGGCAGTGCCAGTAGCTAGGAATGATCAAATGTCCCTGCTAAACTCGCAGAGGCATGAAAGGAGCTAATAGCTGACATTTTTAACACTGGAGCTTTCAGGCAAGTGAAATCATAATTTTACCAGAATAGTGATATAAACATTGTATCATATATAACTTTTGGCCTAAAGTCCTGTTAGGCAACAGAGCAGTCTTGGAAACTAGATACCTTTGTAATCTATGCCCCTTAAATAGGTTAAATCCTTCTAACACCTTTCATGCCAACATTTCTTCTGTGTGGTGCTCAGGCTCTCATTGTGTTTGACATTTTATTTCCACTATTGAATTGTCTGTTCCTTGTTCTGCTCATTCACAGTGCATGCTGGCCAACCTACAAAAACGTAGTTTGAATGTTTTAAACTACACTAATATATTTTGACTGTATCCTCGCTGACACAGAGGACTGTAATGCAGACAGATGTTCATTGTTACTATGTTAAATAAAGTAGAACTCCCTTGCCATATTCTATATAAAGTATCAAATGATGTAATGAAATTCTGGTCAACTGAAAATTCTATCATTATACCACACAGCATCCCCATAAGCAGCCAGAGGCTGTCACCTGCCTGAATATCCCCATGAACACATCATCCTCACAGTCAGAACTGTAGCTGGTTTAACCTGACGTACTGCTAATTGACCGTGTCCAGTAATACAAGTATACTTTTCTCTGCACTGGTGAAAAGACTGAAGACTTTGCTCTGTTCACATGATATATATACATCTGTACGCACAGGGTGTGTATAGCTGATTAGAAGAAACATGATCTGCAAGTGGCAGGTGAGACTACTCAGGTAGGCAAAGGCAGAGAAAGAAGGACGGAAAGCCATGCTTAGAGAGAAGGAAGATGTATGCTCTGAAAGAACTTGTTGCAGCCAATTTAACAAGTTTCTGCTCTCTTCCTTCCTTCCCCCATCCCCACCTGCATAGCTGTTGTATCATGGCAGTGACTGAGTTTCTAACACAAGCCCACACACAGCTGTAAGATCACAGCTAAAGAAACAGAGGAGTGCAGAGTGCGAGTGAGACCAAATGCAAACTGTAGAAGTTTATATCAACATTGAAA